CAGCGTGAGTTCCCACAGAAAGCGGAGGTGCGTGAAGACGGTAAACCATGTTCCGACCCCGGCGACTGCAGTCAGTAACTGCATATTGATCTGATGAGCACGCACATAATCCATCTGCTTCCACGAGTCTCCAGCGCAGAAGCGGCCAGTGAACAGCAGCAAATTGGTGGCATCGAAGGTGATGGCCCAAAACGGCCGGATCAAGTACTCGATGCTCTGTTCCCAACGCGCACTGTAGGCCTCCAACGACATGATGTTGCCAACCAAATGGCGAGCCATCACGCCAAAGCCATACAGCAAACCAAGGACATGCACCACTATCATCAGCGATGTGTACTTTCGCCACGAGGGCTTGATGCAGAGCATGGCGTTGAGCACCGCGAAGACGTTGAACAGCCCGAACCAAGGCATCAGAATCACGTACTCCTCCATGTTGAGGTCCTGATGGCCTTTCGACGAGGGCTGCGTCCAGATGAATCCCGACAGTACCTCCAGTGGGAAAATGTCGGCAAAGCACACCATGCCCACACTTTTGTGGGCCTCCTTATTTTGGAATGGTGATCTCACGAATTGGTGTACCAATAACAGAGTCATTACCACAGACACCACGTCGTGGAGCACAATCATCGGCGCCAGGATGGGGTGGTGAGTCGCGTTGTTGCCCAACAAGGTTCTGCTTAGCTCCATTTGCGACAAGTCCACGTTACGATACTGGAGGATACTCCCAATGGTGTACGCCAACAAGAGGGCACACGAAATAAGTCCGAATTTCATCGGAAGCTCTTGTGACTGTCACAAGGCCGTGGGCGGCGGGATCGATCTACTTTGATGTGCTTTTGAGCATTCAAAACCCTCCGTAGACGGGGCACTGCTTGACGGGACCAGTACACTGCATGGAATCTGGGCGGCAAGACGCTGTTGTATCACGACTCTACCAGTTTCCTGAAATGAGCTCTGGCTCTCTCTATCTTTATCTTATCTGAAAAGGCTCCCTGTTGTTGCGTCATGACGAAGTCAACAACTATTGGCCACTGGACTTCTCCCCCCTCATTTCCTGTGTGCCCGCGATCGAATGGCGCTCGCAGTCCTAGTGACCTGTTGGAACATTCGGAAACCAGGAAAATGCGACGCACACTGCTGGGTGCCGATCTTGTACCATTTGACAGTTCACGACAGCGCCATGTTGGCGGCTTGGGACGGTCCAGCCAAGTTGGCTTCATTGGGTGGGCCAACAACAGGCAAATACCACTCCAACCCTTCCTACGGTTGTGCATGCTTCGCAAACAACACTGCGCTAGGTCTCCATCCTTTTCGTGTCAGCACGACTCTTCTGTTCTTGCATTCACGAATGGAAGCAGCAATATGTGCCTCAGTCGAAGGTCGTAAAGTCCACAGCCGTGCGCAAGGACATCCAGGTTCTTGCAATAAGAACGCCAGCAGAGTTGGCCAAGTGTGGCAGCAGCCACATCACTACAGCAGAGTGCTCCATGCTCTTTGTCGTGCCCCAGAAGCTTGTCTTGGACTTCTTGCTTCACCTGATCTGCCGTCTGCAGGTCTTTGTCTTTGCCGGTTCCTTCCAGCATCAAGGATGTCAGTTAAGAAATTCGACGGGGTGTGGAAGTCCTCAAGTTTTTCTTCGCGACCTTGGCTTCAAGAGACATGAAGAGGCGCATAACCGTGCGATCTCTCAGCCCAGGGGCCTGCGACCGCGTGGACTAGCCGGGAACTCGATGGAGGAGTTGGGCTCTGGCACCGAAGACTCTGTGGGCTCCTCTTCCTCTTCCTCCTCTTCCTCCTCCTGCGCTGTGGCCGCAGAGCCGCCGGGCGTCGTTGGGCCATTCTCGCGTCGCTCGTGCTCGATACGGGCCTCTGCACTCTGCAAGGGCTGTGCGGGCTAGGAGAAGTATGCTGCCACTCGAGTCACTCGAGCCTGCGCCAGGGCTTCAATGACATGCGGGTCCTCTTCGGCCCGCCACGCACTTTCCAAAGCGGCCCGTCGCTCAGCACGCCTGCAATTCGAGAAAACTCTGGACGAAATGATTCAGGCTGCTACGCAAGTACGGAAAGCAGTGGAGGCAACTGGCCCGATGAGGGGCTGACACAGACAACTTTCAGGATGTCTAGAACTAGTAAGGATAGAGTAGTCAACCTGCACGGCAAGGCCTCAGCCACCCAGACCATCCAAGAGCATGGAAAGTTGTGGACATGTGTGTCGGGAGCGGCCTGGAAATGCGTGAACGCTTGCTGAAGCGGAGCAGGCCACACGTCAGACAATGCGTAACAAAAACCGAGGTCTCTACGCGGTAACTGTCACTTCCTTTCCAGCAAACGTCTTGATGGTCAGCTGTCGGCTGTGCAGATGCAAGCCTGGACACTCAATCAAGGAGGAGCTGGTACGCAACAGATGGTCATCACGACGATTCGCCCTAGTCGTTGCGTCAAGTCTAATTTTGTATGAAGTGAGCGCTGTGATACGGGTGGTTACTGTAGGAGGTAGGAGGTGCGAACAAAATTTTCTCCACGACTCGACGCATCATCACTACAGAAACACGCAGGTCTTTCTTCACAAAGCATTCGGATGGCGGCCGCTGGGAAGCAGGGCTTGTAGCGACTGGCAGCGCTACGCCTTTCAGTTTGTATTCCTTCACGCCTTTATGCCTGTGGGCACGCCACCTTCCCTGACACTGTCAAGCCTGCTTCACGATCCGAACACGGAATCAAGCCACTATCTTCCATTCGCCACAGGCTTGCGCAGCGGGAGTGCAACAAGCACAACCATCAAGGTTAGGTTTTGCTAGCCGGCTTCGGTCGTCTTCCTAAGCGCGCAACACTCACAGACCCAAACACAACCCGTTCCAAACCCTCTAAAGCACGCAAACACACCCACACACACTTGATTTGACCCTCGAGCGGCCGTTTCCAAACATGGGTTAGCACGTATTCCTACACTCGTAGCCTACTGTTCGTATATGTTCTGTTGCTCAATCCACTCATGTTATTCCAGTGCCTCAGGGGGCCAACTGGCTAATCCGAAAGCAGGTACGTCTGGCTGATCAGGGCCAGATATCACCATGCACCGACAGTGTCTTCGCGGGCAGTGACTGTCAGGCATGCACTGCCCCCTGCTGTTTTCTTCTTCAAACGCTATCGGCGCTGCCCTTAGCTTCAGGGATTTACACACACAGCATGGTGCACATATGGGAGTAAGCATTGCGCGTAAAGGAATTGGTTGTGTGCGGGCGGATCCTTCTAGCCTCGGAAAAACTTCCTCCGGATGTGCATGATCTTCAGGGTTGGATATTCTCGGTTGACATGTTGTCGACCGATTGCTTGGGTGTTTACTGCAGCCATTTTGCGGCTGTCACTCCCAGCACGATTAATGCAAGACGTCTCTCAGTTGGGTGTAATATAGTACCAAGAAACTCACCGGACTCAACTTCTTCAAGCTCAACAGGATGTTCATAAATCTGGTTTGCACAACTGCTGAAGCCATGCACAATGTGCAATCTGATCTGAATAGACGACCAACCTGTTGTCGACATAACGGCAAATGAGGAGAAGATTACGATGATGATGGGTGATTTGTTCATTGCGAGCCACCACCACTGTTGCTCGATGTGACTGACTGCGATGTCGGCGAGCACGGAGAAATCTGATTGCAGATGGCACTGCCACGAACTTGCTAAAAAAAACTTGCTGCATTTGTTTCAAAAGCGAAGTTTGTAGCGAAAGCATGCAAAGCAGAAGAACATCGCCCAAAGGAATATGAAAAGCACGTCCTCGAAGTGCACGTTTGGAACCCCGAAAAATACGCAAAAGGACATCCTTCTCTTTGGGAAAGACTGGGATCCTTCTCTTTGGGAAAGACTGGGAATGTGTGAAGAGCATGAAACATCTGAGGCATGGTGGCATACCAAAAGAATTGGGGAAAACATCATTCGTCAGAGCCACAAGTACAAAGCCTGTGCACCGGAACAAACAACCCATTGAAACACTTGGCACTGCTCCCACATCTCCAGGTGGGGGAGGAAGAGCAGGACCCTGGGCGGGAGAAAACCAGCAGGGATGGGAAGAGGAGGCGATGACGAGTTGCCGATGATGGTGGCGATATTCGATGCCCAGGCGATCGTTCTCGAGGACGGAAGGTTGTCCTGAAGCTGCACTGTGGTTGAGGTTGAGGTATCTTGAAACGATGCTCTCGCTGGATGTCGAAGTGCAACTCTGTTGTCATGATCTCGAAGTAAGCGGTACCACAAGTTGCGCAGCTCTGCTGAAATTCCATACACCAACGTGTTGATGTCTCCGAAGTTGACTGCCATGGTATTCACCGCGGAAAGCAATTGCGAGGGGGTACACTGAATGCTGAACAGCATGCAATCAAGTAATCATGAACATCAAGTCTGGGCGCGCACATGCAATTGGAAGACTGTAAGAACTGCCGGCGCAACACACACTGAACATCTTGCAACTTTCTGTAACCTCGGTCTGCATCCGATCATGTTATGCCGATGTCATCAATTAAACTTGCTCGGCTATGTAGGCGGATGAAGCTGCGTAGGAGGTATAAGGCTGGCAGGAATAGTGGAAAAATTCTCAAAGACATCTTCAATCAGATCCGAAACTGTGTCTCTGAGGAAACAAAAAATTTTCTGAAAGATTCGCTACTGTCTCACGAATGTCACTCAGTTCTTGTTGTTGTTCTAGGTTGACGCTGCGTTTCAAACTGTTCTGCAATTGCTGCCATCACGTCCGTAAGCCTCTGCTCAGATTCGCGGAGTTGGGAGGTGAGAACATCAATTTGGCATTGTTGGAGCTGTCGAATGGCTGTCTCTTCTTCATGAGCTTGCTGTGTGTCTTCCTTTATGTGCAGTATCTCAATCTGGGTGTACGACACCCAGCGCTGAAGTGGGGCAAGTGGATCCAGGGCAGAAATCAGGCCAAACTGAGACATGGCAATCTTCCCAAGCTACTAATGGAGGTTTCCTGATACTGCTGCAACTGTATAAACACGTTGCATGTATGGTGCTTGTTAAAGGTGCAGTCATCGGTTGATTTTGCACTCGGACAAACAAGTGTACAATCTGGCTACAGGTGAGACTTTCACGATTCCATGTCCTCATCATGACTTGGTGGTTCCTGATTGAAATCGTGTTGGGTGATCATCAGCTCGACAGGTCGGTTCACCACGACGTTGGTCACTGATTCCCAAAAGCAAACGTGCTTTCCGTCCTGCATGAGCTGGAATGTGTTGTGTGGGCGATACACCGAGGTGTATTCATGCATGAGAGCTGAAATTGATTTCTTAACCAAATCCACAGAATCACTGCAAAGCACGGCGATCTCATCGTATTCGGGAACAGCAGCATCTGACGACGATGTGGACGAGATATAATTGGCAGGAATGACAGTGTGAAGTCGTAGTCGGTTTCGCTCAGCATAAAGCTCAGCCATGTCTGATGTCCCGTCGGACATTGTACCTACTATTACTTTTCTTAGCTGTGTACCTGCAGAGCTGCTGAGACATGACACAAATGTAACATGTAACCTCAATTGCAATGAAGACATGGTGCAACATAGAATGACAGCATCACAAGCGTGGGAGCTGGGTTGGAGGGTGGTGCAAGCGGGAATTGTGGTTGTAGTGTGGTGAGAGAAGTGCAAGCTGAAGCTGCGCTTTTATCCTTGGGTAGAGGTGGTGATGTGGGAGGTGGTGGTGGTGGGGGAAGGGGAACAGGTAAAAGGGGGGTGGGTTTCTGTCGTGGCATCGGAGGTGCTGTTTTCGAAGTGGTGTCAAGAGTTGTGGTGGGTGGTGCGGGAATCGGCGGTGGAGGTGGAGGTGGAAGTGGCGGTGGACTAAGTGGGGGGTTTTGCTCCTTGCACATGGCGACATGTCTAACCGTTCCAACATGCATGAACAGCAAGCAAACAAAAATGTTGACTTGGGAAGAAGAGATCTGGTAGGAGATCCGATCGTCGTGGAGTGGGATCTGGCTCTACGTGATCTTCCATCTTGGGATCTGTTATACTCAGCAAAATGCCGTAATGAAACATCCGATCTAGGAGACGGAGCTCGTTCAATGCGAGGCTGACGACGTACCGGGCAAGGCGGTGGATGAATGTCACCACCATATGCGATGGGTGGCAGCTCTGCTGGCGCTGGTCCGAAAAAGAACTGAAAGCATGGAAACGAATTCATGGCTGCGAAACACTGGGATCACAAGTTGTAGAGTCGTAATCACAAGTTGTAGAGTCGTAGTCACAAGTTGTAGAGTCGTAGACACAAGTCGTCACATGATGCGTGGATGTCGCATTTGGAAGCAGAAGTAGCCACTGTCCCGTCATCTTTCAACATTCAGGCAGGAGAGACTTTAGGAGTGTTGTTGCGCCCGAAGGTGAGTATTCATACGTCTGGCCACCGAGCTCTCTCAATCTAGAATCTTAGAGCTGGAGCCTCACGACTGGCACTTTGACAGAAAACCAGCCGAAACACACGCTTGTTTTGACCCTCGAGCGACCGAAGCCAAACATGGGTTAGAACGTATTCCTAGGTTCTCGTGCTCAATCCACTCATGTTATTCCAGTGCCTCAGGGGGCCCACTGGCTAATCCGAAAGCAGGTACGTGTGGCTGATCAGGCCAGATATCACCATNNCTTCGTTGGGCAGTGACTGTCAGGCATGCACTGCCCCCCCCTGTTTTTTTCTTCTTCAAACGCTGTCGGCTGTCGGCGCTGCCCTTGCCTTCGGGGATTTACACACACACACACAGAGCGAAGCCGCACAGTTTGCCCCCCCTGTGTCGAGTAGCGGGGCTGCGCGCCCAAGAGCTCGGCACGTTCGCGCCGTGCCTCGGCAGAGTGGTACCTGCGCATCTTCGGGGAAAGCACATTGGCCTTACTGCCACCCGCATTTTCTGCATCTGTATAGACATAAGGAAGACAAGGCCGTGGGCCTCAGCAGGATAGGTTTGGTATTAGTTTAATGCGGCTGATTCGCGATTCGTGTCCGCTCCAAAAACCGCAGACTATCAGGTTTACCATGGTTTACCGGTACCCCGTACGGCAAGTTAAGACGCCTTCCTTGAAAAATCTTCGCAGCCCGAGCACTTCACTTTGAAGTCGGAGACCGTGGAAAGCTCGTTGGACATCTGATAATAAACCGGGTCGCCCACCATGGGTGCACGCAGCCCAAAGGCACAGTGCGCGCGTGTCTGGTGATACCGTCCGCTATATGGGTTCATGGACAGGAGAGTCAAGCCACCAGCGAGCGGAGAATACAAGACCGAAGAATATTCAGTCATGGCAGGCAGGCCACCGTCGTCTTCTCGGACAGGTTTCGCAACGGAACCTTTGCCGAGCCTTTCCAAAGCTAAAGGCATGGAGACTTGCCCTGATTTGGGGGTGCGTCCACAAACGACAGCCCATAGCTCTCGCTTCCAGAAAGAGCGTTGTGCCACCATGTCTTTGGCGAAAGATGCCGCAGCCTTGTGCCGCGCAAGCAGCAGCACACCGCTCATCTCCGTGCTCAGGCGGTGGACCAGCCGTGGTGGCTCCTGCTGCCATATGGGAAAGGACATGGAGCTTGTCTGGGTGAAATTGTGATCTCCCTGAAGGTCCTCCATTCCGAACTGGAGGCTGGGCAGCAATCTCAGCAAGTGCATTCCACCGACATGCTTGCCTGGAGCGACGGACCACCCAGAAGGTTTGTCCAAGACCAGGAAGTCGGTGTCCTTGTAGATAATTCCTTAGTAGCGTATGAACATCAACTCTGCCACTCAGTACACGGAAGATGCCTGTGACTTACATTCGGCTAAGAATCGTCTGAGCAACCATCCGGGAGTTTCCTCCTTCTGTTGCACTGGTAAGCGCTTCTTAGGCACGGGGCTCATGACCTTCGGAAAGTACACCAGGTCCTCAGTTCCGACAGGTTTTCAGTGCTGCCGGGACCGCGTCTACGACGTCTACGAGTACCTCATTCTCTGGTGAATGCCATGTCTCATTTGCTTTCAATGGTGTCCGCCCTTGACACATAGGTCGAAAGCGCGGAATCACGACACTTCCGCGATGCTGCTCTGCAGTTGCATTCGGGCTCATCACCTGGTCCCCGCACGGGCAGGAGCAAACAGAGAGAGAGAGAGAGTGAGAGAGCGCGAGACAGAGAGAGAGAGCGGGAGCGAGAACGCCTTGTCAAGGCCAAACCTAATTTTAAGGCTGAGACACCCAGACCTGCCTTGAGCTTATCAGCTTTTGGCCCGCATTCCAGTTTGAGCCTTGGCTTCCAGATCTGTGGCACCGGCCCAAAGTCGCACCTCGCTTAGCCTCCGGCAAACATGCTTCTGGAGCCAGCGATCCAAACGTATCGGCTCAGCATCTGCAGGCACGCGGTGGCATGCGAACGGGCCAAGGTCAAAGGGACGTTCACCTCAACAAGAACATGCTCGGATTGTCCTGGCCACACCGACGAAACTCTGAAGAAAACTGTTCAGTCGAAGCGCCGGGCAAATGAGTGGGATTTTCAAGCTGCAGCCGAAGTGTGGCTAAACGGCGCTGCCCCCATCGCCTCCAAACAGCCGCCCATCCCTGCAAGTGCATCTCATCGCTGGCTTGCCAGGTACACGTAACAGCTTCAAGTTAACTTGAGCGTTCAGCGGCTGTCGTGCTGCCTTTTGTCTGCAATGTATTGGACTGTGCTTCTTTGGTGGACCAGTGGCGTACCGTTCTGATCTTCTTGGGCCAGAGTCACGAGTCTCCACTTGTGCTTTGCTTGGCAGGGCAAATCCGCAGACGGCCCGCCGACAGTGCGCATTTCTTGCTTGGTCGGCTGCCAACAATGTCTGAGTCGGCTTCAAATAACTGCGGCGTTTTTGGCGTTCGCATTCCTGCGCCCTTGGGGCGACCAATGCGCGGCGCCTCTGGAAATCAGCCGCAGACAAGTCACCCAATAACATCTCATCTACATCTAATTCCTCAAGCACTCTCTTCACGACCCGACGCCCCAACACCTTCTCGACAACTCTGATTGTGATGCGGGTTGGGCGAATGCCCTTCCCAAGCATTTCACGGAATACCTTCTCCACATCTGGGATAGGCTCATCAAAATCTCGAGGCTCGCCAACTTGTGGACCTGTAGAGAAGTGCGACCGTGCCAGGATGCCGTGTATAACTCGAACAAGAGTCAGCACGCAACAAGGATCATACAGCCAGACGTATACAGACGTGCTCAGAATCATCCTTGTTCTTACAGTGCAGTCGTCGGTCGCCGCTATGAATAATAGGAAAGAAGGACTGCGGCTGCTGTAGGTCTGTAGCATAACCTGAAAATGCCATGACGCAAACACACCATTTAACATACGCTAAACATGTATGAAGCTAGCTAGACCAACAACAAGCCGCGCACTATGTCACTGGAAGCCCCAACATAAGGCGTAAGGAGTGAGTTGCATGAAGCACAGCTTCACACCTGAGCATCGACTGTACCCGTCAGGGACGACAGCACCTACAGACCATGTCCCTAAGCGGCACGGTCGATGCTCCAATGTGAAGCTGCGCTTCATGCAGTGGTGCTTCTCCTGGACAGTAGCAATGCCGTCCATAGCCAAGTGTCTTCACTTCTCATCTCCAGTGGCTGTGCCTACTACGTGCCAAAGGTGCGAGTGCTCACCCGGCAATTTACCTTCCATGGCTTACGTAAGAGGTTCTTTCCTGCAGAAAGGAATCTTGACCCAGCATTTGCCGCCAAGACTAGGCTCGCGAATCCAGAACGGTCAGAACGGCCACAACACTCAACATGCTCTGCGGCGCATCTTCGGCTCGCTTTTCCTGCATCCAGAAGCTAAGGAGCCGGCATGCTGCCGCTGGGTGCTGCTGGTTTCGGCTTGATGTGGTGGTGGCAGGCTCATCAGCCAGAGCTTGCAGCAGCTGCGTGTACTCGAGTACTGAAGCCGATAGGCAGCTGGCACACATCAAACGAAACCTCAAGCGCTGCGAGTGCGCATCAAGAAAACACATCGTCAGTGCTGACTAAACCTCGGCCTTAAGGACAATGTTGCCGATGTCTTGTGGGAAACCATCTTGTAGCTTTCCTCTGACGCATCCCTAATGGCATTTTGAGGCAGGACCGCAGCAGGAGGCCAAACACCGCCAGGTCTGGTTGAACCTGCAGCAGCAGGCCGACTCTTGTCCAGATGGCAAACAGCTACGCAGCTGCCTCTTGCATCATCGAAGCAAAATGGCTCTCTGCACCTGCAGAGCATGATGGGAAAAAAGCAGCCGTGTCTGAAACGAACATGCGCCCGCCGTCTCAAGCGCACAGACGTAAGCCTAAGGCTGGCACAGCCTAAGAGGGAGGAAGAGGGAGGGGAGGAGGACGGGAAGGGAGAGGGAGGGAGAGGGAGGGAGAGGGAGGGAGAGGGCAGGAGCGGGAGGAAGACAGGGAGGCAGGGGGAGGAAGGGAGGGGCAGGGAGCGACAGGGAGTGAAAAAAAAGGCAGGAAGGAGGGAGGGAGGGAGGGAGGGAGGGAGGGGAGACGAGGCACGGAGAAGGAGCAAGGGGGGAGGGGGTAACCATGCACTTCCCAACAGTCCCGCTGGGCCAACTAGGCCTCCGACGCTCCACATCACCTGCGACCACACAGGCCTTAATGACAGCCGTGTAAGTGAAGCGGTCTGGCTGCAGCCCCAGCGTCCTCGGATGTTGGCTTAAACACTGATCAGCACAAGGTACGGCCAAGTACTCGCATCATCCAAAAAGCATCAAGACATATCAAGACCCTCAACGGCCTGCATATGGCAGAGAAGTGCATGTCAAAGGCTGACTGATTAATTATGACGGTTGTGAGCTTTTACCAATCGCGTGCATCAGCTTAGTGTGCTGTCAGATCTGCTTCTTCGCCCCCACCCTGGACACCCGGGCCTCCATTACCCAACCCTGGCACAGCGGAGTTTGTGCCATGTTTATGTGTGACAGCCCCACGACATGCTCTGACAGGTGTTCAGTACTGACAACGGCTACGACGGCTACGAGTAGAAGCTCCAGTAGCCGTGTAGCCCCAGCCCTTGTCCAGCAGGATGTATGACTGAGCTCCTGGCCTGAATTGCAACAAAACCTGCTCCGCGCCGGAAACGTCAGCTGCTTCAGCTGCTGCATCTGCGAGGATGTTCATGACGATGCCAGCATCTTCTTGTGAGGGCTCTGGCATCTGCTTCCCTGCGCAAGGGTGGCTGCTGGATCTCTGCTCGGCCCGCAGAAGCGTCGCATAGGTCACCTCAGCATAGCTTCGGCTGACGTTCAGATGGTACAGTGCCCTTCCTCTACTTCTGCTGGATTGGAAACGAAGAGAAGCAAGGCTAGCTTCGGCTGAAATTCTGCATCCGGCTGGATCTTGCAAGCAGACATGGCTCTCAACGCCTTTCGTGCCGAGTGCACTTCTCCAGAACCCGTGCTTGCAGCGATCAAGGTCCGCCAGGACACGACGGAGGGCTGCCATCCCTGGACTTTGGACAGAGGTGACAAAGACCCACTTGAACATATGTGGCAGTTTGTTGGGCTGTCATGAACACCTGCAACCATGCGGCTCCGAACACAAACCTTTCAAGTCCCTCTTTTCCTTCCACGCGCCCACACACCGCAAGAAAGCAGCATGCTGCATACAGCTGCCATTCTCAAGATGCAAAGCTAGAGATCACGTGCTTGTGTGAACATCCGCTCTCGAGACTCAAGCAAACAAAGCGACAGGCTTCGGGAATCTAGGTGCGTGTCCAAACTAACTCAATTGCGAAAACCTCTTGTGCTATACTGCAATCATTGCACATCTGCCCAGACAAAGAAACCGCAGTCAATGGTCACAGAGCTTGGAGTTAGGAGTGCCATAGTCGGCTTTGCGCTGTGTGTGTGAGAGAGAGAGAGAGAGAAGTTTCTCAATTGTTGATGCTGTTTCCCCGGTGCTGTTTTTGTAGGTGTAGATTGGCCACCTCCTCTTGACTTCATGGCGACAGGTGTCAGGCAAACATGTCAGATTGCGATGGGGAATGGATGCAATGTGTCGGACTCTTGGACGCAGCACCCCTCCCGTACCTGGAGCCAGCAAACGGAACGGACGTACACAACTGCAGCAGGTGCGCAGAAGTGTGGATACGCGGGAGCAACAAAAGAAGAGAAGATATCAATCCTGGACTTACGAGTTCCGTACCGTTGCTGCACAGCCAGGTCCGACCCCTCTTGGTAGCAAGCGTTGGTTGAGGGTGCTTTGCCGTGCTTCGCTAGTCGCTAGCCGTGAACAGTGTCAAGAGTTTGCGTTGAACTCTTCGCTTCCCACATCCCTTGCGGCCTCAGCGACGAGCTCGCGGAAGAACCGCTCGGCAGCTTGGACGTCTTGGTGCTTGGCGGCAACGTCCAGGAGCGCCTCAGCGTAGCAGACAGCTTCTCGAGATTAGCCACATGCCGAGGGCACGATTTGTGACACATGTGGTGGATGCGCAGCAGAGACACGTTGTAAGTTTCTGCTCCTGGCGCCACGGAGGCCGACTTCATAATTCCGAGCCATTCGCCAGCTGCAGGAATTCCAGACTCCGCTCGTGCTGTCGCACAGATTATGGTGTTAAAAGTAACGGCATCCGCACGGACGCCAGCACTCTGCATTGTATTGTATATGGTCCTGGCATAGCAGATTCGTCATCAAACGCAACACAGATCTCAACAAAAATTACTTTACACAGGCGGGATGCGTGCAGGCGTCAAGGTCGCCATTCTTGGCTGCAGCGCTGAGGACGGAGTTGTAAGAAACCAGGTTTGGCTGCAATCTCTTTTCCCCCATATGCCACAACCAACTCTTCGCTGAATCCAGATCGTGCTCATTTGCCGCGGCAGAGATTAGTTCGTTATAGTTTAATACGTGTGGCTCGAAGCTGAAGTGCAGCATTTCCTTCAGCCAAATCGCGGCCTGCTGCGGCTGCGCACTTTTCGCGGCTGCCTCTATGAGCTTCCCGAACGTCTTGCGGTTCGGCTCAACTCGTATACCTGAGCCGTGCGGCCACACTGCATGGCTTTAGCAGCCGAGGCTCCGCAAGAAAAAACATGCTAACAGTTCAACAACTGCCGAGGCATCACAAACATAAATCCTAAAGAAAAAGCCAACGGAAGGCAACTTAGTCCCCGGCTGAGCATTGATTGATACAACTGCTCTGCCGCCTGGCTGTCTCCTGCATTTGCGCAGGCCTTCAACATAGTATTCCACAGCACTCTCCTGCAACTGGCGGTCGGGTCTCTGGACTTTTCAGTGGAATGCTTGTACCCACGCCTGTCCTGCTCGACGGCTTCCACGAGCAGCTTACATCCTCCAGCTGTCGAAACACTGCCTCGGCTTCAGTAACTTCTCCTTGGGTCGCCAGCTCGTTGAGCTTTGCCAAATCCGAAGTGCCACGAAGCTTCGCCTCCCTGCTGAGCAGACGCAGCAAAGACCGCTTCTTTAACAATTCATGCCTCAAATACATCGTGTCCGGATCATGGCCGGCATGACCGTAGCGGCTCTCATTGACTAAAGGAGCTGGAACCTTGACTTCAGGTCGACATCCACATCAGTCTTGCTGGAACTGCCACATGGCCGTTTCCTGGATGTGCCGGCATCACAAACAAGCAGCCACTCTGCAGTCCCTGTCGGGCATGCTTGCACTAAGCTGATGCATAGCCGACACACTGGCTGCGGCTACTCTGTGTGAAAAACAGATAAGCTGGGGCGATACCGCAGCATGAGAAACCGGACAAGCAGCGCGCCATATCTTTTGGCGATCAGAAGGCGCAGTTTGCCCGAAGTCTCCCCATTGCCAGCTTTGCACCTACTTCACCTGACCTGTGCAAAGACAGCTGATCAGGGTCCGAGATGGTATGACAAGAAACTTGTGCGCGGCACCTTCTTGTTGGTCAAGACGCGAACCACCAAGGCCGCTGGAGAGGCCTTGGGTCTTAGCGCGTCATCGCGCCGAAGAACTTGCACCTGCAGAATGGTTGTTCCGTGCGAGTCTGAAAACAGTTATCTTGTCGAAAACCGGCCTGTGTGCTGCCATTGCCGTGGATCTGAAGCACCTCTGCACGGACAAGGTCCCCTCGAACCATCTGCCTCGTCAGCGATTTCTGGTATCACACGCACGCTCATTCCACATGCAAGCCCATCTTCGCGCATGCTACAACGAGTGCCGGCCGAGTCTCTCATTCTTCAGAGCCGCATAGACCTTCATGCTGCTTCCTACGGCTGTTTCAGTACTGTTTCAGCATTTTGGCAGTCCAGCCTCCTCTGCGGTCGAGAGCGGCCGAAGCATTAGCATCGTCGCAAGCTTGGGCTTCGTCGGGTTCGGCTTGGGATACCCCGGGTATCCACCAGTTGTTGAAGATCCAGGCCTGTTCGCGCACGTAGGATCGCACGGTGCTGGAATGTACTGTGCACTGGACCAACATCGCCCCTGCCCTACCTTGGCAGACTCTCCAATGTGGAGAAGTCGGCCACGGGGCAGCAGAATATGGGCTTTCGCCGGAAGACTGCTTGCGACAGCACCTGCGAAATTCAACTCCAAGTGCACCGGCTGTTTTCGCATTCTGCCAGTCCAAGGATCCGTTGCCTTTAAGACACCCGTAGAGCCATACTCATCCAGCACTTTCTGGCGGAGGAGCTTAACTTGCTCCTCCACCTCGGGAAAATCGCCCAACACCGACACAGAGCCACCACCATCCTCGTAGGCCAGCGTGCCTGCCACAAACCGCAGCGATTGCACCAGCAGGTGTAGGCACCAGAATCCACAAGCTCGTTTTCGGTATGTGCGAAGGTTTCAGACATCAACTCGCCCCTTTTTCCCCTCCCCTCGAGCCCAAGCAGGAGAGGGTCGCCTTTGCGCCTCTGTTGCCAGAGCCACAACTCGCTCCGAGCGGAGACTGGCAAGCAGTCGCCCAAGGCCGCCTGAGGAGTCGGAATCGCGAGGGCGAGGCCAGCTCTCCGCAAGGCAAAGAAAAGCAAAGCAAAGCGGAAGCTCTGGGAAGCTCCGCTCTTCTCTCCGCAAAACGCGAAAAGATGCATGCGCCTGCACTCGGGAAATGTGCTGGGCTGCTTCCGGCGTATCCGCCTGAAGCAGGCTGGCTTGACCCACTCCGAATGTCTCGTTTAGCATAGCACAGCAGAGTCTGCAGCAATCATCGCCTTATTCAAGGCCACGACGATGGGGAAGCGGACTCTCAAGAAGCATGCCACCAGCAAGTGCAGATCGAACTCGCTCCATTTCAAGATGTCCTGCGTCGAATACCGGGCAACGGGAATCAGGCTGCTTGTCATGACCAGGGCAGTGCTTCGACTTCTTGGTCAAAGAAAAACTGCCAGAGTTCACTGCGTTGTCTCCTCTGCTAAGCTTGGCAAGCTGTGCCCAGTTGCTTCGTAAACTTGAGCAGCCAATTGCTGAGAAGCTCGGTAGCCTCCGTGAGCCGACTGCGTAAGCACCCCCGACAGCGTCACTTCTCAGAAAGTATCCTAGGCACCGCAAGTCAAACAAAGGCTCCAGCCTGTAAACAATGCAAACAGCCGCTCTGCGGCAAGATCTCGCAAGGAAGAGTTCAGCTTGGCCAGTTTCGCTTTTCTTCGCACAGTATCCCACTTTGCCCGTACATTGCCTCGAGCTCGCAGCCCCGTACATGGGATCCGGGCATGGACGCTTTCATGTGAAACTCACGCTCAGGACAGCTTAACTTCAAAGCCTACCAACATCAACAGAGAAACTTCTGCAGCCTTCATCCACACTTCCTCAAATGGGACATTCTGGCAATGCATAGTGGCCGACGAGTTGCAAAAGATCCACAGATGAATTTCTCTACGCACCCAGCCAATTTCCTCCAGTGGATCCGACGAGGCTGTCTTTCCCTGAGGGTGCCAGAAAGGAGCCTCTACCAAGCGAGCTCTGAAAAAACATGTCCCCGACACATCACCGGCATCCGAAAAAACCGTCATGCAGTTCTGTACCAGTGGACTGTGGGATGCGAGAACAGGCTACTGATGTGCATGTACTCTGCCTAGTGCCATCCATACACCACACAGTAAGCCGCGGATGTGCACGATACTACCGTGCAACACGAACAGAGACTACATAACACCAGCCAGACAAGATCAGCTTTGCACTTCGTGCCTGTGCGATGTCAAATGCAACCAACAAACCAACAAAGAACGAAGTAATTTCACCAACGGTCTGCCAGCCCGTGTACCCAAACTTGCTCCAGGCAGGACTCTGTGGAGGACCCTTGGTCGACACCTTCAGCATCGCTTCTTCCACTAGCATCGACTACATGGATCAAGCTGTCAGCATCGCAGAGATCATTCAGAAAGGCATTTCCACGGCCGCGACCCATGTAAGCACCTCCACACGTCAACGAGCTACCCTGGCACCGAATATGAAGGCTAAAACTTCGGTTTCCAAAACGGCTAGCCTGGAACAAGCCCGGCAACATCCTTCACCCAGAGCGGGAAGCGGCGCTCGCTGTTGTGAGATCTTCCGTATTCAGGTTCGCACTCGTCCTTGAAAGCAGCTCCAAGTCTATGATGCCGCTGGCCCTTTTTTTTTTGCGAAATCACAGGCTGTGAGCGGGAGTCTCCTGGCAGCGCAGCTCCACGGAAGGACACGGGGCCGCAAACCAACCGGCGGCAATGTTAGGGTCGATGGTAGTGAAGGGGTGCCTGCAGCGAGCGCAGAGGCAGAAGCCCGAAGAGAGACCCCCCCGAAACAACGAACTCAGAAGGATGTTTGAGCAGGATGCGGAGCCATCGCTGCCTCCTTGCCTGCCACTTCCGGTCGTGTGGCAGCATTGAACAGTGTGGACTTACCAGCTGAAGGCTTTCCGACCAGACCAATGATGAATTCCCAAGACTTTCCATAACTGCCGGCTCCGCACTGTCGAGCCCACGATTTCTCATCGCCACCATCAGGCAGCAAGAAAGCAGCTTTCTTCTCGGCCTCCGCCAACATGGTCTCATCGACCTCGGTCTCATCACGAAGCCACCAAGCATCACACGCGTCCTCGGTCTCTTCAGCCTCTGCCTCCTCCAGACTCCTCATGCTACTTGCCGGGTGTGCACGTCCACTGATCTCCGTTTCGTGATCCGAGATCCACTCCTGCGCCGCCTGAACCATCGCCATCACACTGGGAAAGCCCAGCGGCTCCCGCGATGCCTCCACGCTTTCTAACAGCTCTCGGGCGTGAGCTTGCAGTCCGAGGTCGCGGGTTTCAAGCTCGCAAAGGCACGAAGCCTTGTGCGGATAGCTGGGCGGAAAAAGAAACCGAAGTGCAGCAAAGCTCTCCCCATATTGAAGGCGGACGGCCAGCCGCACTGGCCACACTGGCTTGAGCAAGCACAGCTCGTCCTCCCCAAACATGGCAAAAAGAGCCTCTATCTCATCCTTTTGTTCCTGGTTCACCTTGGGTTCCTCTTCCAGGTCTGCAGAACTGGCTCTGCCGAGCATACGGCGTGCCTTTAAGCGCGCCTCCAGAAAGGCAGCGAGGCTCCGAATGTCCTCCGCTCGCTGTGGCACAGAATGCCCGCCATCGTGCTCGATCACCTCAGCATCCTCGAAAGCCTTCGCGCAGCACAGGCTGTCACTCAGCGGCACCACTGTGTCTTGCGCCGATGCGAAGTGTAGGGACTTCGCTTTCAGCACTGGCACCGGAAACGCAGGAGCTGGTGCACCCGAGAGGATAGCGAAGGTAAGCTCCCCGAAGAGAGGCCTCAATGGGCAAGAAACACCAGAACCTAGGGCGAATCGATGTTGGCCTTGCACTGGGCTTCATGACACTTGTTCGGATTGCTAACGAAGTAGATTCTGAACTCAGACAATCCGCGCTGCATCGATCTCCTTAGCCCCGATAGAACACAAGCACTGTACCCAAAAACGGTGCATACATCGTCGATCCGCCAGCCGTCAAGGGTTCAGGTTTGCTTCAGGCACGGTTCGGGAAGAGTGTGGAGTTGCTCGGCCCACTGGCAGCAAAGCACCGCAGCTGCTGCTCCCTCGGAGAAGCCCAAGACGCCATCGAATGGGCCAAGCTCTGCCCAAGATCTGGACAAGACCTTCCCCGAATGGGCCCCTGAGGCAACTCGCTGAAGACTTCGTGATCCGAGCCTCGCGCACCGCAGCTGCAGCAGCGTCCGATCTATCAGCATCGGGCCACCAAGCTCTCCTGGCAGCAGCCAAGGCCGGGGTCCCCTCGAAATCTCCCAGCGGCCCTATAGCACTTCGAGATACTTCGAGCTTTCAGGCGACCGCAGCTCTGTAGGCCCTGATCTCTTCGACAGAATCTATCGCCGAACAAACCTCTTGCAGATCAGAATCGTGTTAATGCGCTCCCCGTGCTGCAAAGGTAGCTCCAGCGGACCGTCCACGAACCTGAGGCAGCATGTCGTCGGTGCGACTCCAAGGAGCTATCCTATGTGAGGTCTTCGTTGTAGACTGGTGACACGAAGTCAGCAAAGCTTTCGGACTTGCCCGCTACCCTCTCGAGCTTCCTCTCGAAGGTCGACCCAGTCTGGCAGCGGCCATGTAGACAAAGTATGCGCAGCTTGGGCGTTGAGGCCACATACGGATCCATGGCTCCAATGGCTCCATGCCCTGCGCATGACCCTACATACCTGCATGCCCTACTCAGCCTACATGAACTAGCTTCCAAACCGCAGGGAAAAGTCATGAGACTGACTCAGCTGCACTCTCTCCCGGTGACTCACAGCATACGGCGGAACTTTCAGGGATTTGTAGGGGGCAGGCGTGTTCCTGCAGCGTCAGCTGCGAAGAGGGTCGAAGCGAGCTGAGTGTTTTTCCGTGGGATACGGGGCGTGCACTCTTTGAGGTGAGACGAAAGGCTGAACGTGGGCTCGGGGAGCGATCCCAGTCTCCCAAAATATCGGCCTCCGTGACCTCGTAGCCAGGGCTTCTTGGACCAGGGGATCTGGAACCATCCGGGCTGCGCGAATGCTGCACGGAGACGTTTGGTCGGCCACGCTCACCCAGTGGTGGACCCGGACCCAGCGGTGGATTCCGTGCTTGTTGCTCCCGCAGGGGAGACTCAGGACGGTCGAACTCAAGCAGTCTTGCAGAAAGGGACCTTGCCGGAGATCTGACTGGTCGAGGCACCGACCTCGGTGACCGCGGCTGCGCCTCACTCGTGATGCCAGAAGATGGAAGATCCTGGAGGTCCACGGGACACTCACGCATCTCGAGCGCAAACTGGTCTTGCATGGTGGAGAGGTAGTGTCGCAGATCGAGTGTCAAATCCTCCCGCTGCTGCCTTGCCCTTTGCAACTGGAGATTGAGCTGACGAATCTGCTTGCTTAGAGAAGCCTGCACGGCATCTTTCTTGGCAAGTTGTGATGACAGGTCGTTGACTTCACGCCGCAGCGCCTGGATTTCGGACTCTCGGTCCTGAAACTGCTGCCTTGCAGTTGCCTCCTGGCGTTTTGCTGTTGTGAGGGCAGCCTGCCTTTCCAGATCACTTGCATTGTAGCTGGCATCGCGCTCCTTGAGCTTTCGAGCTGTAGCTCGCGCTGCAGCGAGTTGTTCGCTCAAGGCTTTCTCCCTCTCACGCAGCCTTCGCACTTCTTGCTCCTCGCTTAGTAGGGCTTTTGCCAGGCGCTGCTGCTCGTGGAGTGGAAGAGAGGGCACGGCAGAGGCATCTTTGGCGTCTTGCCGCTCTTTACCCACGCTTTCTTGCTGCGACTGTAGCTCCTCCACATGCTGCAAGAGCCTCCTGTACTCCACGTCGGTGCGCCAAATGGCCGCTACTGCGTTCATTGCTGCTTCCGCCACACGAACAGCCGCAACTGGCGCGTCAGCTAAGATCGCAGGTGGCATTGGCCACGGCCGATTGGAGGCCACGGCTTGGTTAAGCTCTTCTGACCACATTTCCCAGCCAAGACAGAAAAGTTCTTCAACATCTGCTGCTTCTGCTTCCGCGATGCTTTGGACGCAGTCGTTGCTGCGTCCTTGATTGTGGCCCTGCCAAATGCCTTGGCCTGACACATGCGGTGGCATCTGACAGTCAATCGCACAAAAAGGCCTTCGATGGCGCGGTGGATTGGCAGCACTAGGCTTTGTGACACACAGCCGTCATGGACGGCACAACGTCCGGATGACGGCCGGGACATGCAATGACACCTACGAGTTTCAATGGCTTACCATGCTGGGAAATGTGTGTCCACATCAAACCAGACTTATGCAGGTTCATACCTCTTGCTCTGTGCATGCTGGTGGGAACCCTGCAGTCTCGAAACGAGCATAAACCACAACGGCCACAAACATGGGTCATGAATCTTTTGGGTCAGCGTCCACACAAGCTGCCCAAGCCGTCGGTCGGCTGTGTTCTGTAGTGCGCAGGCTTCTGGGCTATGGCTTTAGATGATGCATTAAGCATCTCTTTTTGCGAGGAGCTATGCTTGTGCAGAGCTGCTTTAATGTGGCGGTGAAACTGTCGGGGCGAGTGCCGTTAGCTATCTTTGAGTCGTTAAGCCAACGGCCATCTCAGCATCCTGCTGTGTATGCGGATCATCAGAAGCTTTCTGCAGCCTTCGCTTGTGCAACCTGGATAGCATTTGTAGAGAAGTTCCACATTACATCGCTTCGCCTAGTGTTGGGATCGCGACTTCGATCTTTCATGCTTCTCCTTCACCTCCTCTGACGCAAAGAAGCGATTGCCTCGGCTGGCCGTTGGCATGGTCGATGCTGGTCGTGTGTGCATGAGCATGAAGGGACGGCTCCACAGAAACTCAGAGACAGGCAAGCTATGCAGTAGAACTGTCCCATACCGGGCCTTTGCACCAAGCGCTTCGACCAGTCGGTTTCCACTCTGTAACTGTAGCTCGAGGCTCGAGGCCAAGACTTTTGGCACAGCACAGATTCAGATTCGCGTGTGTTTGGAGGCTTGTCACTTGCGCCACTAAAACATGCTCGGCGACAAGCAAGTCTTCATCGCGTGGAAGTGTGCCGGCTTGAAACTTCTGTGGAGTCTGTCAGCGTTCAGCAGCAAATTCAAAATACGAAAGCAATGTAGCCACGAACAGACCTGCAATACACGGCCTTCAAGTCTTCATGTACCTGATCAATGTCCTTGTTACGGCGCTTTGCTGCGATGACAGACGGCCTGATGCAGCAAAATGCGCGTACAAGATCGTACAAGTTGCACTGCGCCCGGCTGCGTCCAGCATCACGAATCACGAATCACGCTTGACTTGCCTGGTCTTCTTGTTCTGATTCTTGTGCTTCCGGCCAGTGTGCTTGTTGCCCCGCATGAGGACTCCTTGAAGTCCACAGTCAAGGTCAGTAAAGAATACGCTGGTGCAGCGTTTGCAGCTCAAGTTCCAGCATGATATGGCTGATATGGCAATCAAGAAACAACCACTCGGGACACAGCCCGTGCGCTGCCCACTGGGGTTCAGGCACGGCAAGCAAGTCTGGCGTTACACTTGGGAGCTCCACTGAAGCCCAAAACCAACGGAATGAACAGAGAGAGAGGGAGCATCTTCAAAGGACCCAATAGGACCAATAGGATCACCAAGCTGAACCCAATGCCTCGACAAAAAACCTTTGCCAACTCAAATGTCTCGAAGATCTGAGCGAGGGCTGCACTGCTTTGTTTTGTGCCGCACACTTCCTTCCCACGTCGCAGCAGTTCTGGAGTCATTGTGCTTGCATTGAGCAAGTCAATTTCATCCATACCTAATTTTGGTATCTCGGTCACCTGCTTTGAAGCGCTGCTCGACGCTACATTCCCGGGCTATTGCCCAGAAATTAATTTGGCATGCAGCCGCAAAGGGCTTTTTCGGCGTCTTCCCCATCCACGGTCACGTAGCCACCGGCTCGGCTGAGCGTGGCAGGTGTCACTTCCGGTGCTGACTTCTTCCTGTCTGGTCACAACACGGCACGCACTAGGAAACTGAGCTCACGTTTGAAGTTTCCGTTCGCCGCGCCTGTGCGGGACCCAAACGTGGACCGCAAGCCACAGGCCTGCCTCCAACACCGATAGGACAATGAAGACGGCCGTAAATGAGCCTTGTGGTTTTACTGCAGCGTCAATTTCGCACACGCTTTCGAAACCACTCCAAGCGCTTGCCCGATTCGTCATGCAGCTAATGCACTGGTACTCCTGGCCGCTGCTTCGAACTCTTTCGATATCACGGCGCCATCAGATGAAAAAAGGTGACAGGATTCCAGCCCCTGCACAATTCAAGGCTTCTACAGAAGGTCTTGCTTTTGCAGGCAGAGCAATGCAGAGCACAGGACTGTCATGAGGCCGAGCCTGCAAGGCGAAGTCGAAGCTGAAGTATGAAACAGTCAGCATTGGAATGGAACACATGATCACCATGAACAACCATCCCAGCCAGAAGACGCAGGTCATGAATTTGGGACAGCTATAACACACAGAGTTGGACCACTTCCAAAACTTGTCCATCTCGTTCAGGATGCAAACCACGCAGTGCACGAGCACGACGCATGCCTAAGACCACGTCTGCCGCATTTTCTGTAGCTGCAGGCACATCAAGTCGCCAAGTCCAATTCGCCAGGGCTCGAATCCGATTTCGGGGATATGCCTCGGGAGCAAATGTTTCTCTGGGGGAGAAAGGCTTAGCGCCCTAAGCTCTCGGCGACAGGAGGATATGACCTTTTCGCCACACGATGAGGAACATGGTCCCGCGCACTGCCTTGTCGTCGGCATGTTTCCCTCTTGTCCCACACGGTCCAGTCGGATTTCACGCAATTCACGCTAGACGCCCGTACCCGCTACCGTATGCCTACGCAATTTTTGGAAAGCACAAGTACTCGTAGCACGGTACTCTGCCTCCTATATACTGAAAGGCCAGCGCGCCTGCAGCGAAAGGCAGAGCAAAATCGACATCCTGAGCAATTGCCACATTGACTCGGCGGGAAATCGCGAGATGGAACGACAAGCTCATGGACTCTTGCTCCTTGCTAGTCAATGCTAGCCAGCACGGATCACATCAACAATCCTTTCACGGCCCAGCATCATTTTCACCCCAAGGCCCTCCAGAGTCTGGTCACAGCGAGATCGCGTTGACGGAAGTCCTGCAGCGTACACAACATGTGCCGGATGCAATGCCCCGTGACTGGACATCGCTTCGAAGTCTTAGGCCCTGAGGCACCGACCGAAGCAGTGACTGGCAACCTCATGAATATTGCTGATGATGTACTTCACCACCAGGACCGCGAGCAGCAGACGATTGATTCTATCAAACTTTATCTTCCGGTCATGCGCGATTGTGATTTCTTTTGGGGGGCAAATGGAAGACAACGACTCGGTCATTGAAGCAGACTGCTTCAATGAAGAGCTGCGAGAAGCTCTTTCGCAGCCCGCCTCTTGCACCTTTCCAAAGCGTCATTTGCAAATCGCAGACAGGCGTAGGCAAGCAACTTATGAACGTCGGCCACGCTTGCAGCTGTACGTAAACGGTTTTGTAAGCTGTGCATTAAGGCGAAACAGAAAAGCCAGTGCAAGAACTGGGCTGAAAGGTTTCATGTCTCCATGTAGATGGGGCCTCGTTGATTGTGTGCTCGAAGATCACCATGCCCAAGTACCTGTCCTGCAGGCATCGTGCACGGATCGCCAACCCTGCCCCTAGAATCATTCTCTCACGACCTCGAAAGATGCACCCGCACGCATACGCAGATGCACAGGCACACGAATCCGGAGGTTCGCATATGCACGCAGTAAGAGAGACCGGTGGATATCGGCACTAGTAGAGCCGACTTGAGGGCCAGGGGCATGGAGAACGAAAGCTCTGTCTTTTTTACGGAAGGACTCAACGGCTACACACACGCAAATGCAGAGAGACATGGCTGCACTGCACAAACACGTCACAAACAAGTACAATTTAGCCCCCCCCCTCCCCCCCTAAATTGATACTATCAATAATGCGCTGGTTTCTGGCCCTGGACTGCCTTTCTGCTAAAGGCAAGACTAAACTCAAGCTCTGCTACGCGAGCTTTCGTGACAAAGCAAAGGCTGCGCCGCTACCCGAGAGAGACTCCAATAGTGCTGCCATGACATGAAGAATTCCTTTCAACTTGGTGCACGGCCAGGAATTTCGGCTTGCCGAAGATGAGGTTGGAATGAAGACAAGGTGACTGGACCACGTAGTAGTCTATGTCGCGATACATGCCCTGTGCCTGCCTGCAGGGACGTAACTTTCGAAACGCAAAAACAAGCACTTCCGCTTCTGCTGGCTCTCATTCAGGAAACTCCTCGACATCTTCTGGAGGAAGGACTTCACTTTCTCCATTCCACTCCATACACCTTCCTTGCATCTTTATGAGGGTGTGTGGTCTCAAGTCCAGCAGTCGCGGTGTAAAACTACATCGTGGCAGGGTACCAAAAACACCTTGAACACGTGAACTTCGGGGCTGAACGGCCTCACACGGTCTCCACGCAGCTTTCAATTGAGCCGAGCATCGAAACCTGGAATCACTTCAGAGATCTGCTCGACTCCTTTCGAATCAGTCGGATGGTCGGTCTGGCTCTGGAACTCCTGGCTCGTCAACCTCTCGCGCAGAACACATCAAAATCATGAAACTGCTGAGAAAACTCACTCTCTCCTTTGAGGTGCCGGCTGTTTCATTGCCTTTGAAATGGAATGGGGAGGCCAATAGGTCACGTTACCGCCCTTCACCGGATGCATGCACAGGTACTCCAGCTCTGACGAGGGATCCACATCCAGCGTCTCCTCCCATCTCTCTGACAACTGATCCACGCTAGAGCAGTTCCGGAATACCACAGAACGAACGACTCCGAGAAAGGGAGTCGTCATGACCTTCGCTCGTTGGATCCAACATGGATCCAACAAGTAAGCCCCTCAACGAAACAATTCAGTACAAAGCCGTGGCCCGACTCTGCACAGAACAGCGGCTGAGGGTTGCACGGAATGCTGCGTAATGTTATGGAAGATGCCATCGTCTGCTTGCCGAAGCCACTCAGCTTGCATTATCAGTGCTTCTTGCGTCGTCCACCAGATAACCACCCTGCTGCAGCAGGACTTCCGTAGCAACAACAGCAACTTGGTTCGATTAAGTGTTGATGTGGCTGAGGACCCTGCCCCTGCAATGCTAGCACCAAATAGTATGCCTCATTGCAATGGTCCACCCGCCCACTCGTGGACGCGTATCCCTATGCTGAGGGCTCCTTGTGCAAACAAGCCGCAAATCTCGCAATGCCACTGAAGTCTGGACAGTCTGGCATGGCTCCTTACATCGAGTTAGCACAACAAAATGCAAGCTCCGTGGCCCAACCTACACACCTGCATGCCTGTGCCTATAAATACCAACCGCCGAAGGGACATGCCAACCAAGGTACACAGCAGATGGAGCACTGCGGCTTTCACAGATTCTCACTATGGCCTGGTGGGCCGCGCCGCGCAGATTTCAGAAGCCGCCATGCGTCTTGCGCCGAATGCTGCGGGGAACATTGAGCTGGTTTTGGCACAGGAGCGACCAACTGAAGTTCGTCCGGATGCAGAAGTCTGCAAGCGCATTTCTGCACAACTTGGTGCTCTGGTCAATTAGCACATGGACCATCGGCGTTTCACATATGCGTGCCATCGGCAGGTCTTTGGCCGGAATGCCAGCGCATTGCTCCACCGTTTAAGCACGATCACAAACACTGCTCCAACGCAACAGGTCTTCTGCTGCAGTGGAACCTCAAGCTTAGCCAGCCTTCCCTGCTGATTCGACATACGATTGAACAATCTACTCCTCCATGAGCAAGGCCGTTACCTGAAGATCGCATGCACACCCAGCCAGGTAATGCCAAAGAAGGTCTAGGCAAGGCGCTTTGTCATGAGTGATATTCATGGAAGGGAAATGCCTCACTCTTCAAGGGTGGGTTGGGGCACATGATCCTGGTGCAGTTGTGCACTGGTTTGGCTCCCAATGCTACTGCTATCAGGTGGCCCTCCCATGTTTTGGTCCACCAAGACACAGCCGCAAGTCTGTCTACATGCCTTGGCCTTTTCCAGGGACTGGGAGAAGTTGCACCCAACAGTGTCTTCGTACTGTGACATTGCGCAACTTCACCCTTTAGGCCACGCAATCTAGTTGAAGTACGGTTTTGAGTACAACCTCGAGCCTGCATAGAAATGTAAAGAAGGAAAGTCCGAGCAAGCAACTGCGACAATCGATGGAAACAGCTGGACGGAGAGTTTCTAACAATTGAATGCATCTCGCAAGCTTGAGAGATGAGCAGTGCAAAAACACGGAATCATGTGGCTTGACCACAAGGCAGCATCGTGATTCATGTGACATCATCTTTCGGGCGTGTTGCTTCCCGCCCCGAGCCTTCTATGTGTGCAATTCACGACTTCTGCTTCCATAGCTGGCAAAAGATTGAAGCCAAGGCTGCCACTCGCAGGGTGGCACCCCTTTGGCCTCACACTCCCAAATCTCTCATCATATCCATGCAGGGCATAAAAGCTTTGGCTCGGGCGAGGCCCCAAAGACAAGTTTAGAAGCCCATCGTAGCCTTTCAGGTTGACAGCACCATGAGCTGGAACACCATGTTGCGAAGCAGTAATCGTTCACTGCATCAAGAAGAGCATCCAACCCTCTGGGTATATCTTGTCGCCAGGAAGAAATGCCTGAGGACATCAAGCATCTTCGAAGAAAATCCGCTTTTGCTCCTTCTAACTTACCATGACCACGAGCCTATATCAGAAGTCCTAGATAAGTCCACCATGGTTTTAAAGTACAGCAGTTTGGAGAGAGTGCTCCGGGCAGTCTTCCGGGATGGGCTGCTCTGCAACCGGCGGCCGAGCACTGGGAGCTTGCTGGATGGGCAGTAAACACACGAAGACGCCTTGAACTGAGGCAGGGGCTCGACCGAGAAGCTCATTTGCTTTCGGCCTCAGTTTGCAGAGACATCCATGGCAAATTCACGATGAAGTGCAAAGGAGTGCACTGGGTCGGGCGTTGACCGTCAGCCCCAAGGCCTCAGCAACTCAAAGGTCCAGGACACAAGTAGCGTGCAGCTGCTGTGCTGCAGAGGCACCTTGAGGGTCAAGACAGAACACGTGCAGGACCAGTGCATCGCCAGGGCTGTATCCTTGCAGATTCAAGCACAAGCAACGCTGATAAACAGAAAGACTGGATGCTACTTCCGGCATCTGCACCTGGAACGGTTCTGCTGCATCGCCACCTAGACAGTGCGGCTTTTGTCTCGAGAGAGCTTGTGCGTTCTGGCACGGAACCATGGCATCAAACTCGGGGGCACGCTCCGGGTTGAGGCCTTCTGCCAAGTCCTGAGGCGCGAGTGGCGCAACGCACTGATGTCGAGCTTCGGGAAGCACACAGCACGCAGGAGAAGTGGAATGATCTTGGGCGGACACTGTGGAGACCGAGGACTCCCGCTTCTGCGGTATCTCACATGTACAGTACCTTGTCTAAACTTACACTCTTTTTTGTGCTCAAATCTTAGAACGAAAAAGGTCGGAAAAGCTGGCAAGACACGTGCAGATCCGTCTTGCCGAGCTTGTCAGGCCTGAGCATGTCAGGCCGTGTGGAGCATCGCACAGAGGTCTGAAGCTGAGCAAGGGGCCAAAGCCTCCGATCATCCTGACTTTCAGCTTGAGAGAAGCCGATGAGAGCTCCACCTTCCACGAGGGTATGCAATAGACGCGGCACGGCACGCCCTGCTGCCTGGCCTCCGGAAAGAGAGAAATTGGATGTGCCTGTTGACGTGCTCGCACCAAGGCTTCCACCTTCTGCAGGCAGTCTGCAGGTCTTCCACAAACATGTTCCGTCTTCTCAAAACTGGGTCAGTATCTCGAACTGGCCTGCGTCTGAGTAACAGTAATCCAAGCGGGAGCAACCAAATTCCTGGCTGGGAAGCCCCAAAGCTTTGCAAAGAGTTGAGACACAACAAGGCCTGCCACCACAAGCCCGCACCCAATCGCGTTCCTCTAGACTCAGTGGCCTCGGTTCTGCATTGCACTTCCGCCAGACCGGGCCTGAACCCGACCCGTCCCAACCCCGAGTGACATACATCTTGGTGTTCTCGTCCACATTCGCAAGCCACCGGCGCGCATGCTCGGCCATCTGCACCTTGGTATTGCAACTGCTCAATGCACGTCCTAGCGTTGGGGAGGACATAGCCGGCATGTGCGGATCTTATATGGCTCCGACTTCTCTGGAAAGTCTTGCAGCTTCCGCCAAGCACTTCTTCTCTTCTTCTTTTGCCTGCTCTGGCACTCACTAGTCGGAGGCAACTGGAGCTCGGCCCTGCGTCCAGCACAGGCCTGCTCAAGCTGGAAATTGAGGTGATAGTGCCTTGCGAACATGTTCGAACCCGCGCTGTAAGCCAGCATCTTCTGCGACGTACAAGGCGATTCACGAGTTGGGCTTGAAGAAAACGTCGAGCTCCAAAGTTCCACCTCACACTTCGAGTCAACATGTTTCGGTGCCGTCTCCACGCAGCTCGAAGAAATCAATTGGGTTCTCGCTGCCACCTTGCTCGAGCCGCTCGACCTTTCTGGATGCAGCTTTTCCGGGCACTGCCAAAAGCGGGCAGTACTGCGTGAGCTCTCAACCAGCCGACACCACTCGTTAGGCTGAAGGCTGCCTGGCCGTGACGAAGACGAGCGAAGATGGGAAAACATCCCCGCGCCCAATTCCGTAGGACTCCAGGGCCACGACAACAAAACTTGGGGCCCGACCAATTTTGACTGTTGCCTTCCCGAGACCTGGTAATCGACAAGCACTGATCGGCCGTCAGGCAGCTCTCAGCACCCGCTTGGACCCACACTGTCGTCTCTGACAACATTCGCGTTCATGGCCTGGCCAGGGAGTGCAACTCCCCCCCCGACCATCCTCCGCCCCTGCAGCCAACGCTTCGCTTCACAAGCCTCCAAATCGATCGTGGAAACCCCTTCCTTGACTTGAAAAGTGAACAGGTTTCCCTCCTGGCACCGCTTGCAGCCACTCTAAGGTATGCAGAAGTGCTTTGGAATGCTAGATCAACCATGAGTGGTCTCCCGCCAATCAGGGTTCAAGCTGTTGTTGATTGCCGGAGTCCTCGCGCAGGCACTCATCCAGCCACGAGGCCATGACCAAAATCCCCGTCACAGGTCCTACGAGTGACTTCTCCCACCTTCACAACAACATAGGGATCCGACCTCACCAAGCAGACCAACAGCCATGCAGCCAGGCCAAGCTTGCTCGGAGCTCCTGCTCCTAGTCATTCATAACTGTCCAACGAGCGCTCACACACAGCATCTGCACGACTTTGCTCGGGTTGAGACGACTGCCGGTGTGGTCGGCACAAGCCCAGCCACTTCATGGCGTTTGACAAGCCACTAAGTGACCCTGACCGATGGCAGAACTGCACCCCCCAATAAGGCTTGGGGTTCTCAAAAAAGGCGCCGCCTCGTGCCAATCAATTGGCACCGTTACGGCAGCAAGAGGTACATTTACGTGTGTTGGCAGTAGAAAGGCAAGTTCTGCCCTTCGCTTCATGCTTGAACCTTCTCTGGGACTTTGTCCACTACAGCCGCCTCAGGACCTTCAAGTTCTGGTGCGCCTTGGTCGAGCGTCTGACGCAGGACGACTACTTCATCCTGCTCATCCACGTCGCAGATGATGCATTCTCCTTCGACGGTGGGCTCGTACAGGAAGGATTCTGCCAGCTTGTCGTCCAGAAGCCGCATGATCGCTCGTCTCAGTGGTCGAGCTCCATACACGGGATCATAACCCTCATCCACGACCTTGGTCTTGAACCGATCTGTCAATGAGAGGGTAATGCCCCGTTCCTGGCATCGTTTGAAAGTCTTTCTGAACTCCAGCTCGGCAATCTCGCGCACTTCCTGCTTGTTGAGGGACTTGAAGACGATGATCTCATCCAACCGGTTCAAAAACTCCGGTCTGAAGAAACCTTTCAGCTGATCATGCACCTTGGTCTTGAGCCTCTGGTAGAGGGATGTACCGGGATCGTCTGCGCCAGCATCGAAGCCCAGACCCTGGCCAATGAGCGTCTTCTCAATCTCCTTGGCTCCACAATTAGAGGTAAGGATAATCAGCGTGTTCTTGAAGGATACCACACGGCCCTTGGAATCGGTCAAATGGCCGTCCTCGAGGACCTGCAACATCAGGTTAAAGACGTCCGGGTGCGCCTTCTCAACTTCATCAAAGAGAACCAGGCTGTACGGTTTCCTTCGAACTGCGTCTGTCAACTGGCTCTCCTCGTCGTACCCAACATATCCGGGAGGACTCCCGATCAGCTTCGCCACGGTGTGCTTCTCCATGAACTCACTCATATCCAAGCGCACCATGGAGTCTTCCATGCCGAAATATGCTTCGGCCAAAGCCTTGCAAAGCTCCGTCTTCCCGACACCGGTTGGGCCACAGAAGATAAAGGATGCGATTGGCCTCTTGGGATTTTGCAGCCCTGCACGGGCACGGCGCACAGCCTTGGCGATGGCTACGACAGCCTCCTCTTGGCCAATCACACGCTTGTGCAGCGTATCCTCCAGGTGAACCAGTCGCACGGACTCGTCGGCAGTGACCTTCTCCACCGGAACCTTTGTCCAGGCAGATACCACAGCTGCCACGTCATTCTCGGTAACCGTGGGCTTTGACAGTGCTTCTTCAATGTCCTCCTCGCTCAAGGGTGGAAGCTCAACCTCCTTCTCAGCCTCCTTCGCAGACTCTGGGCCAGACTCCTTCACAGCTTCGCTCACCGTTTCTGGTTGCGGGGAGTCTGCCTGTGAGTTTTTGGTCACCTGGTAGATTTGGCACTGCAGCTTCTCTTCCTCCATCTTTAACTCACTGGCTTTTTTGAAGTCCTGTGCCCGGACAGCCGCCTCTTTCGCTGCCTCCACCTCTCTCAACTTGGAGCGGATCTCCATGGCTTCCTCAGGCACGGTGGCGAGCTGCCGAAGCTGCACGCGCGCACCCGTCTCGTCCAGGATGTCAATTGCTTTGTCTGGGAGGAACCTGTCTTGGACATACTGAGACGCGTACTTGACGCAAGCCTCAATGGCCTCCTCAGAGTAGCGAAGCCGATGGTGTGCCTCGTATTTTCGGGCAAGGCCACGAAGGATTTGGACAGCTTGCTCGACAGTGGGCTCTGGGACGTCAACGGGCTGGAAGCGGCGCTCCAAAGCTTTGTCCTTTGTCACATACTTTCGATACTCCTCGATGGTCGTGGCACCAATGATCTGCATGTCTCCTCGCGCAAGTGCTGGTTTCAGAATGTTGGCGGCGTCCATCGCGCCACCATCACCACCACCGCCGGCACCAACCAGGGTGTGGATCTCGTCGATCATCAAAATGATGTTCGGATCGTCACGGGTTTCTTGAATTATGTTCTTCAGGCGCTCCTCAAACTCTCCACGGTATTTTGCACCAGAAAGCAATGCCCCCATATCTAGCTCAATGATGATCTTATCCGTCAACATTTCAGGCACGTCCCCGGCGACGATTCGCATGGCGAGGCCCTCTGCGATGGCTGTCTTTCCCACACCCGGCTCCCCAATCAGCACGGGATTGTTCTTGGATCTCCGCGCTAAGATTTGGATTGCGCGATCGATTTCCTCGTCGCGACCCACCAGGGGATCCATCAGACCCTCTGCTGCTGCCTGCACAGAAGGAGGCTGAGACTGAGACTGAGTATGGCTTACCCTAGAGGCCCTACGAGGATGCAAAAGCCCGCGCCTGAGTCAGGTTCTTCCCAAATTCCTCCAAAGCCTTGGTGGTCTTCTTTGGCAGGCCGTCCCCTCCGCCCACCGAAACCTCACTAGCCTCGTCCAGCTTCTGCAATTCAGTCTTCACCTCTTTGATCAGCTCTTGTGGGTCCATCTTCAAGATATCTTCTGCCGGACATTCATCGGGGCTTGCCAGGAGGGCTGTGAAAATGTGACTGGGGTCGACAGCCGATGCTCCCAGCTTCTTGGAATCGTCCACTGCGGTTTGCAAGATCTTTTTGCATGCGGGGGAAAAGGGAATATCAGAAGGCACCTGGCCGTCACCCTGCCCAAGCAGCTCGGCCACTCGCTGGGAGGCAGCTTCAATGTCAATACCGAGCTTCTTCACAACAGCCTCCACGACGCCCTTTCCCTGCTTCATGATTCCAACGAGGAGAATCTCTGTTCCGAGCTGGCTTTGACCAAGACGCCGGCAGTGCTGCTGAGAGGACATGACGGACCTCAAAGCATTCTCGTTGAACCTCTCGAAGAGCATCTTCATGGAAGCTGTAGAAGAAGCGGAGCGTGTTGGAGCCGCTGTCACCGAGCCAGCCATAGTGGCTCCAAGGAACGCAGAGCCGCTGGACGAGAGGCTGGAGCTGAAGCTGGAGCTCATGGGCCCAGCAGGTGCACCTGTACCCCCTGTACCCTGCACGGCCTTCACGCTCTTCCGTGTGCGCTTCGGGAAAATCCAGCTCAGCCGGCAAGCCAGCGCGGACATTGCGGCTGCAGCAGTCCGCGCAGCCGTTTTACTCGAGCTTGGAGGATCCTGAGCATCCAAAAGTGGAGGTGTGTTGAGATTGGTGTTCAAACTGGGTTTTGGAGTAGCGCGTGCCAACGGGCCAATGACAAATCCGTTCGCGACTGGCAGCACAGTGGAGGTCGCCAAAGCAGCAAGACCCATGCGTCGCATGCGTCGCCTGCGAGCCCCATCTGAGCTGCCTGCTCCCACTGGCTTTGAAAAACACGCCATTCTGCCAAGCTTCTCTCAAAAAACCTGCTTGGTCTAGCTACTCCGACTGGGCCAAAGCAAACACATCACAAGAAAGTCAAGCTTAGGTGCTGATGCAACACAGAAAAACATTCTCAGAACTCATACACGTTCTGTCACGAGGGCTCGACACGTCGCCCATAACCTCGGCTGGCTTAGAGCTGCCCATGCTGCACTGCTGCCCTGTAACATGCAGGCACGGCTCGAAACTTAGGCCCCGTCGCCCGAATCCCTGTTGAGCAAGTTTCTGCCACAGTTGATGCGTAGGTGAATCCTCCAGGCAGCCCGAAGACTGTGGTGCGAAGGTGCTGAAGCAGGCGACTCAGCACCAGGCACGCTCGTCTGTTCCGCCGCCAAGATGCGGTACCTCATGCCGTAAAAAGCAGCTTTAACAATGGATTCTCAAAAGCCACCTCCCACGACTTGACACATCTGCCGATCCAAGCCGTTCCAAGTTTCCAGGTCAGAGAGCTGTTGCTGAGGGTTTCTGTGGCGACGATAAGAAAGTGCAGGGACTCAAGCGCACTCCGTGGGCTTGAAGAAGAGATCGAACCTAGCAGAATCTCATGGTGGAATGGCACAAGGAATGGCATATTTTCTGCGAGGCAGCGAGAGCTTCAGGGCCCCGGCACCAGCTCTCCGCCGCCCGTCTTCTCGCGGAAGCTGGTCCACATTCCCTCGAACCAACTCATGCCACAAGGCCGGACGCGTGCAGCCAGGCTTGAGAAAGAGCTCCGGACATGCTGAATGGACCGGAGGTCCAGCTCGCAGCTGCCCAAGAGGCTATCTTTGAAGGTGTTCGAATCCATCACCTCCGCATTCAAGCATTACAGTCTCTGCTGCAGGTAAAGAAGCATTTCCAGCGCCTTCAGTTCGACAATGTGATCATCTGCTGAAATGTCGAAGGTAAACAGGTTGCCTTCCTGCCGAAGTCTGAAGTCTGCGAGTCCGTGCGCGTAACTTTGCTTTTGCACCCGGTCCTCCCACACTGGGTTCAAGTTGTTCATGATGACGGGTGTCTTCTGCTCCACCCCAGCAGCCCGGACGATAACGTAGGGATCGGATCTCGGTCTCCCCGGGAAGTGCCGGACTGAACACCATTGCAGACATGGCAGCAAGGCATGCCGGGGCCAGCGCACATCTCCAAAGAAACCAGTGTCTCGGTTCGGGAGGTCGATGGCCTGATTCACACCTCAACCCGAGAATGGGGCACGAGACAGTTTGGCTGGTCGACATCGCGAGTAGAGGACGGATCTGTAGAACCTGGGACTGCAGCACTTCGAGTTCCGACATTCCCAGCCCAAACACGCGAAGTGTGCAGAGGCCACCTGAGCCCGGCACGCTCTTGTCAGCTTCCTTCACTTCACCGGGGGGTTGCCTTTGGGAGGCGCCGACGATGCAAGAGGCCCTTGAAGCGCATAGCACATCCTCCCTGCGCCTGTCACTTGCCGCCGTGGCCGCGATCTCAGGGACGGCCTTGCAGAACCGGATCAGATTTGTAATCACACCAAAACTCCGACTGCTATGATTCGGAAGCCTGCGGCTTCCCAGCCTGGAACCCAGAACGGGCAAACTGCTGCAGTGTCTGGTCTGATGCATGGCATTGATAAGGTTCGGACTCCGGTGGGGCCATAAAGAAGCGATCCAGAACGCATGGACCTCCGCTCTTTGGACACTCGCACGTGCGCACACACACACACACACACAAGAGAGAGACAGAGAGAGAGAGACATGCAATAGGTCCATAGGTTTCTGGGAACTGGACACGAAGCTCATTTCGGACGTCGTTCGGCGATGACCGCCCATTCGGGGCGAATGGCTCATTTCAGACCCTGTGCGTCGATGGCCAGAGCCTCCCACCAGAGTTCATTGGTTGGTTCAGAGGTCGACCACGACTTCTGGCACCTCGGCGTGCCAACTTGACACCCTGCGGCTCTACCTCGATGAAGACGTGGAGCAAGGCCTCACGAGCCACTCTGCACCCGTCCGTAGAGGACTTGGGACAGGCTTGGCCCGTCACTTTGGAAGGCGAGCCGTCTCGCAGCAAAGGCAAAGCACCCTCAAAGCCATGCCTCAGCACTTGCAGTCGGTAGAGCTGCCACTTTCCTTTGCGATATCTTCCCCGATGCCGTCATTGCTATTGTCGTAGGTGGTTGATGACCGCTCCGAAACGCTGGCACCGAAACGAAGGCATGAACCGACCAGCTTGAGAGATGAAGCAAAAACTCACAAAGGACCAAATCGAGAGTTCCTTCCAGCAACTCCTCCTGCCTTTCAGTTGCACGGGCAAGGGCACGACAAGAAACACCGGCTGCACATCACCATGGCCCCAGCGGGTAGAATTTCGACATCTCCGCCTCCGCCTGACCTTCCAACTCACTTGAAATTGCTTGCCATGCTTCAGTCCATAGCTCGAAGGCAGCAGCCTAAAAGCTCATCCGCACGCTGCTGAGGCTTGCATGGCCTGGCATCAACGACCGAGTCCTCTGCTGCCCGGCCTGGGCTCCGGCAAGACAAGCCAGGCTCTCGCTGCCGGCTTCAGGAAGACGTCGAACTCCAACCTCAGACTCTCCTCCTTCCCCTCCCCAACAGAACAGCTGAATGGGAGAGGTCAGCTGTCGGGTCATTTTACCGGGTCGCAGGCTCGCCGCCTTGGCCTTCTTCCAGCTTCAGGCGATAGTGGTGCCTCACACGGCAGCAGATCAAGGCCTAAGGTGCTGTGATGTGAGGGAAAGACGCCCTGGTCATGGTCACACCGAGAAGCCACTGACCGGGATCGATGGAGCGAGTGTCAACTCTGATGCTACCCAGGCTGTCATCCTTCATAACGTTGGAGTTCATCACCTTGGCATTGCTGAGATCCGGGGGCCCTGGCAAGATGCGCGCAGTGCTTCAGGGGCCTTCAACTCAAGATAGCGGTCTGCACTGTGATCCACAATGTTGAAGGAGAACTGGTTGTTTTCCTGTGCCATCCGACACACGTAACAGCTGGATTCAGGGAAGGGTTGCCGTTGCTCCAGCCTGCCAAACAGGGTTCAGCTCGTTGTTGATAACCGGCGTTTGCTGGGTCATGCTTCCAACTTGCGCCACCACGTACGGGTCAGACCTTGGCTGTGTCCAACAGCTTCCAGTCACTATGCCTCACTATGCCGGAAAACAAGATGTCTGGGATGAGGGCACATCTCCCAGAACCCCAGTGTCCCTGTTGATAAGATTGTAGGCTGCTGCAACCTGACGCAGGACACCCTACCATGCAATCCATATCATTCGCGTTTCGGTCAAAGGCACCGCACCTGCAGATACAGAACCGTAGTGTGCTCCACCGTCGCTGGTGCTGCCGATGGGTCGACAGGTGCAAGTTCCGCCTCCTGCTGGACAGCGAAGGCCAGGTCACTGCAACAGGTCAAAGTTCAGATTTCAAGACTGCAAACAGGGAAAGCTGCGCACTTTTGCGACGCAGCAAGCGGCATGTGTACGAGCAATCTCTGGCACTTTGTCGGATCATGTGGTCAAGCTACGCGAGGGCTGCGCGGCGGCGAAGGTGCCACATCGTCAATTGGCGGACGATTCTCCTCCTTTCAACACATCTGGTAACAATAAAAAAACCGAAAGCAGGGACGAGCGAATCACCAGTAGA